AGCAGAGATGGGAGGTGGGAAGGAGACAGGGCAGCTCTGGGCTCTTGGCTCCCCACTGGCCATAGCTGGCTCCTGGCCTGTTCACTGAGTGGCTGCTGAAGACCATGCTCTGTTTTAGCGCCCTGGACAGACCAGGCAGGGCTCTTGTACGGGTCAGCCACTCCAAACGGTGGGGCTTTGGAGCCCCTGGAAAAGGGGAGAGGAGGGATGTGGGCGCTGAGTGGGTGGCCTGTGGAGAGCACATGCGGGTGATGGGTGCAGGTGGGGCACCAGAGTGGGCTGCAGTGTCCAGTCCATCCAGGCTGCTCACGCCTCACCCCATCCAGCGGGAGGGTGCAGAGCTTGTGCATCCAGTGATGATGGGGCACATATCTTCTGAGTCTGGGGATGGCAAGGGACAGCGGGTCCATTGAGGGACACAGCCTGTGTGTGTCTGGGGCTGGTGGGTGCCAGAGTGTACATATCTAGGGACAACGTGGACAGAGTGTGTGTGTCCAGGGCTAGTGGTGTATTTGCTGACTCCGGGGACAGGGTGACGGGCTCTGTGTGGGACATTCCTGAGCTCCAGTGTCATGGGGGGCCTGGGTCGTGTTGCAGGAGCCTGAGCTGGTTTAGAGAACAATGTGGTCGCACCCCACTCTGCCTTGCTGTTCTGGGCAGCCCCTTGTAGCCTCCGTTTCTTGGCTGTCTTACAGATGAGTGTAGGGGAAGTTGGAAGAGAAGGAAAGGGAGGAGAGGAAAGAAGTGGTGGTAGCTCCCTGGGCCCACCTCAGTGATCAGTTCCAGCTGTTCCCTTCAGAGACCAGACTCGGTTTACCCCCACGTATGCCCTTCCATGCAGTCATCTGCATTCGGCAACTCCTTAGGGCTGTGACTTAGGCTGTATTCAGGGTTGAGGTCTTCCTGGAGGAGGTGACCTTGGGAAGGGGCCTGAGGCTGAGCCCCTGGAGGAAGTCAAACCCCAGCCCCAGCCTAGCCACCAAGCTAGGTGGCTGTCAGGCTTTCCTCTTAGGTTGTGGTGGGAAATGGATTGCCCCCCAGGTGCCCGTAGGCCTCAAGTCTTGCCTCAGTTTCTCCATTGGCTGAGTGGATCGGGTGCCCCATCCAGGTAGAACAATGGGGTTTGTGTTTCCTAAGCTAAATATAGAGTCTTGGCTGCCCTGCTGGCAGCTAAAATTCCCAGGAATCTGGTGGGGAGGGCTTTCCCATTGGAGGGGGGTTTCTCCCATTAGGCAGGCTGGAGTTTGGGGTCTCTAGAGAAGGCCCAGCAGCCCAGGGGGCCTGGTCCAGCAGCGGGATGCAGTGGCGCCCAGGTTGGGGTGGAGTGGGGGCAGGGCTGCTGAGGGGGAGGGGACGGGTGTTTGCTTTAGGATAAGCCTGGCTCCTCTGGCTCCGCTGCCGCTGCCGCCTGCCTGTCCCTAGCAAAGCTTGTAAGCTGGCCCCTGGGGGCCC